GCACCTGATTTTTACAAATGTCAAACTTAATACATGATCCATGAACTTTTCCCTTAGTTAGGGGTGGCAAAAGGGTCAGTAGCTTGTTGTCTCGGCCAAATGGCTTGTGGGCTCGTAAAAATTGTGAAGAAAAAAGTGAAAAAAAATTAAAAAAAAAAAAAACTTGTGGGCTCGGCTTGGCTTGTGAGCTCATGAGCTCGTGGGCCGAGCCGAGCTTGACCCTTGAGCACACTCGAGCTCGGCTCGTCAGCTCATGGGTAGATGCCCGCTCGATTCATTGCCACCCCTATGTGTAGGTTAAATGGAAAAAATAAAAAAAAATAAAAAAGTACGGCCAAGTCCAAGGTTGGAGATTACGTAAATTAATCACACACTCAGGATTCAATAGTTATTGCGATGAATGACTGGCTGCAGCCTGCAAATTATTATCATTTTTGGTCATCCAAGTTTCAAATATATATATATATGTATTAAAAACACCACGTGATGTCCTTTTATTTAGAGCAATGCAAATTACCTATTTCATAGGCAAAACCACTCAAGGATGAACAGCCAGGACCTCCAGTAAGCCAAATCATAAGAGGATCATTTTCTGGGTTCGTTTCTGATTCGACAAAGTAGTAGAAAAGCTGCACATCCTGTGACTCTCCAACTCCAATATACCTGTCCAGTGATACGAAACAGGTTGAGAGCTCACGACAGACCGACCGTGTTCAACAATAAATTTAAAAATTTATGCTATAGGTACAGAAAAAGTTTAATAGAATTTTTTACAAATTTAAATAAATATGTCCTCTAAAATAAAGTAGTTTGACTCGATCCTACAAAGATTAAAAGTCCAATATGAGAAGGATAATGGCTTACCCGGTTTCCAGTTTGAAAGGAAGACGACCCTCGAATCCAGGAAGAAGCTCAACGATTGAATGAGAATATGCATATTGCGGAAGAATAAGTAGAAACAGATTAAAAATAAGTAACAAACTGGACATTTTGTAGAGCACAAAACCGAAGAGAATTATATTATTATCCTTAATACGTGAACACATCTCATAAATATATAGGTGGGATGGCTGTATAGTGTATCCCTTAAACTCTTTTTGATTTGTCAATGTGAAAAAATATTTCTTATTAAAGCAGAAAATAAGAAAATACGGTTGGTTTGAAATTTTGAATTTTTTTTTTCGAAATTTTACTCCATGAAATTTTCTTATTTAGCAAAAATAGAACAATTTTATGTTAAAATATTTTCAATTAATATATAAATTTTAAAATTACTGAATCTTATAATACTTTTATGCTATAAAAGTAAATTAAAATTAAAATAAATAATAAATTGAATTCAAAATATAGAAAATAAAAATAAAAATTTAACGACGTGGATTGAGAATATTTTATCTATGTTTATTTGAATATTTTTTAAATTTTATTTAATAATCATTATAAGTTTGAAATTTTTTTTATTTTCTAGAAATTTTATAGTTTTATTTTTTCATATTTTTTATTTCTAGATTTTATTTTTCCAATTTTATTTTTCGTTTTTAAGAACTTATTAATTTTATTTTTCTAAAATTTTATTTTTTCAACTTTTTCTTAGAATTTTATATTTTTATTTTTTCAAAATTCATTTAAATACTTCTTTTTCATATTTTGAGTGTTTTGAAAACTTTCACTAAAAAAGCCAAAAATTCGTTTTGAATTTTATGTTATAAATTTAACATTATTTTCAAAAATATATTTTCAGAAATACAAAATCAAACATGTTTTCAGTATTTTGCAAAATTTAAAAACTAAAAACAGCTAAATAATAATAAATCAAACGCACCCTTGTAATCAAATCAATCCTCTCTCTCTCTCTGGGCAGGGCTAGGGCTGGGCAAAATGTTCGAACCGAACTGAATCGAATCGGAACCGAACCGAACCGAGCGGGTTTTTTAAAATGAAATACCCGAACGGGTATCCGAATCGAGAACCGAATGGTTTGGTTCGGTTCTCGGTTCTCGACCAAGAACCGAAGAACCGAATAAGAAC